CAAATGTCCCCTCTCCCCAGTGCAGATATTGGGCTTGCAAAGGGACCCCAACCCCGTCCCCACCGTGGGATGGCAGGTCCCCCCTGTTCCCCCACATCGCCTCTCCCTTCCCCAGCGCACAGAGTGGGGGGGACAAGGGGACCCCCAGAGCTGCCACCTCCGGGTGTGGGGACCCCCAGGGGTCCACTCTCAGCAGTGTAAACATCAGGCTCACAAGGGGATCCCAACCCTGTCCCCTCCACGGAATGTCGGGTCCCCCCTGCTCGCCCCATCACCTCTCCCATCCCAGACCGGGGGGACAAGGGGCCCCCCAAAGCCGCCCCCCGCGGGCGCGGACACCCCGGGGTGTCCCCCCTCACCGGCGTAGGAGTCGGGCTCGCAGGGCTGGCAGGCGGTGGCCCCTTTCCCGGAGAAGGTGTTGGCGGGGCAGGGCTGGCAGGAGGCGGCGCCGGGCGCGGGGGCGAACGTGCCGGGCTTGCAGGGGAAGCACTCGGAGGTGAACGCGACCCCTGGGGAGGGCGGGGGGCTCAGGGGGAGCGGGGAGGGGGGCGCGGGCCCCTCCCGGGCCCCTCCCTGCCCGCCCCCACCCACCTGTGATGCCGATGTTCCTCACCAGCACCGGTTTGGGCGCCTTGGACCACACGGAGAAGGCGGTGGTTCGCCAGTACAGCACGTTGTTCCCGCGGCTCAGCTCCACCTGGGAAACGGGGAGCCCGCTCGATCGGGGGGGCCGCGGCCGGGGAGGGGGTCAGCACCGCGGGGGGGTCCCACTGCCAGGGAGGGGGTGGGGACTATGGGTGGGTGGGGTCCCACTGCTAGGGGGGGGTTGAGACCGTGGGTGGGGGGTCCCACGGCCAGGGAAGGGGTTGGGATCAAGGGTGGGGGGTTGGCACCAGGGATGGGGGGTCCCACGGCCAGGGAAGGGGTTGGGATCATGGGGATGGGGGGTCCTGCTGCTGGGAAGGGGTTGGCACCACGGGGGTGGGGGGTCCTGTTGCCGCTGGGGAGTTGGCACCGTGGGGTGTGGGGGGGTCCTGCTGCCAGGTACGAGGATGGCACCTAGAATGGGGGGGCCCTGCTTTTGGGGAGGGGGTTGGCACCACGGGTGGGGGGTCCTGCTGCTGGGAAGGGGTGGGCACCGCAGGGGTGGTCCCAGTGCCAGGGAAGGGGTTGGGACCAGCGGGTGGGGGGTTGGCACAGTGTGGGGGGGGCATAGTCCCCTCTCTGCCATCACCGCCTGCCCCCTTTGCTCCTCGGGGAGCACCTTGTCCCCAGGCGAGGGCCCGGGACCCCTGGGGTCCCCTCCCCCACTCACGCTGTGGAATTCCCAGCCCTTCTCCGTCGTTCTCATCCACCGGGATTCCTCCACCGTGGGCTGGCACTGGTCATTCTGCACCTGCGGGGGCGGGGTCAGGGACCCCCTGTCCCTACAGACCCCCCCCCCTCCCCCAGAACCCCCCCCCCCCCCCCGGACCCCCCCCCCCCCGTCCCCAGGGACTCTCTCTGTGTCCTCAGGGCCCCTCCCGTGTCCCAAGAGACCTCTCCATGTCCCAGGGACCACTGCCATGTCCAAAAAGACCCCTCCCACGCCCCCAGGGACCCCTGACATGGCCCCAGGCAACCCCCATCAGGTGATCTCAGGTTCCCACGGCCCCTCCCCTGTCCCAAGAGACCCCTCCACACCCCCAGGACCCTCCACCATGTCCCCAGGGACCCCTGACACGGCCCCAGGCAACCCCTCAGGTGACCCTCAGGTCACCAAGGATCCCTCCTCTGTCCCTCAGGCCCCTCCCATGTCCCAAAACACCCCTCCCCTGTCCCAAAATACCCCTCCATGTCCCAAGAGACCCCTCCCCTGTCCCAAGACACCCCTCCCTTGTCCCAAGACGCCCCCCCACACCCCCAGGGCCCCCTGCCACGGCCCCAGGCACCCCCTGAGGTGCCCAGGTGACCCCCTGGCACCCACGAAGAACTCGAAGACGATGCTGCTGTCGGGGTACAGGTACTCGAAGGTGACGGTCCCCGCCTGCTTGAGGCTCACGGCGAACATGAGCGTGGCCGTGCACTCGTCCGTGTTCGAGGCCACGTAGTCCCCCCGGGGCACCCACGTCGACCTGGGGGGGGACACAGCCCCAGAGGGTCCTGCGGCCATTCCAGGTGGGAATGGGGGGGTGGGACCGGCCGGGAGGGCCCCCGGGGAGCAGGGATGGGGTGGGGGACACGGGGGGTGGGATGAGTGGGGGTTGGGACAAACCGGGAGGTTTGGGGGTTGTTGGTACAACTGGGAGGGGTTGGGAGTTGTTGCGACAACCAGAGTGTTTGGTGGGTGTTGGTACAACCAGAGGGGTTGGGGGTTGTTGGTACAACTGGAGTGTTTGGGGGTTGTTACAACTGGGAGGTTTGGGGGTTGTTGGTGGAACTGGGAGGGGTTGGTGGGTGTTGGGACAACTGGGAGGGTTCAGAGGCTGTTGGTGCAACCGGGAGGA